TAGACCACTGAGCCCCCTGGGTCACCATCTGCTACTTTCGCCTTCCCATATATTTCTCTTCTTCTCCATTTTAGACAAATTAAGGTCCCTGAAGAGAGTAAAGCCTTATGGCCCATGTATGCGTCTCTTCACAGTTGTGGCCACATCCCTTCCCTCCTTGCCTCTGCAGATAGGTGGTGATGCTAGGATTGCAGCAGAGCTGTCAAATCATCCACTACTCAGAAGCCCGGAGCTCTGCTCTTTCCTGAAGAGCTGCATAGTTGAATTTACATTGTGGGCTTCGTTTGGCACACTCGGTGGAACATGTTCTTCCTCTCATATCCTAGGATAGGCAGTAGGCCAGTTTCAGTCTCTGATTCACCGGAATCACAAAACATCACTTTTTGCACCAAGCCAGGCGAGTGCTGCTCTGGTGTGGGAATAAAAAGCCATAATACATGATCAACAACTCCGTGTTCTTCTGTAGGGATGAAGGCACCAGTTTTCAAAAGAACATTTTATCCATGGACAGTTTATTATCTTTGTTTATTTCTGAATTTATGAACAACCCAGAAGAGATAATAAAATTTCTCCTGGGGGCTCCTGAGATTTGATAATAATAAGGTGTTTGTCTCCAATCTTACAACACCTGTGTGAGTTGATTTGCATGTTTCTGGTGAGCCAGGGGGCAGAACAAAGCAGCTGATGTGGAGTTTAACTAGCGAGCTTTGCCTGGTTATGATTAATTTAGTATGTTTGGCTATTTTATTTTGAAAGTAGGGCCACTATCAAATTAAGTAATCGTCCTTTTGGTCTTTGTTTCCCAGGACTACCTGGTGCTGCTCCCCAGGGACTACTATGAGGCCTCCTCACTGCAGCTGCCTGTCACAGAGCCATGTGCCCACGAGGGACCTTCCCAGGCGAAGTTAGTATGGGCAGTGGGTGCATTATGGGTGTCCTCTAATTAGGAGCCTTTGTGCAAGGATTCCAGATAGGCCTCAGGGTCACAATTACAGGAGGATGCTCTGGGTAATTACTTAATTGTGATTTTTTT